ATGTTTTTATTTTTTGTTTTTGCTTTTGAAGTCTTTTGAAATAGGTTTCTCTGTGCTGTCATTCCTTATATCAAATTTATTTATTATTTATTTCAAGTATTGTAACCTGCCTTTCTCCTTAAAAAAGACATAAGGCGACTTACAACAATTAAATGACAGCATTTAAGCTAACAACACTGAGTACACTATACTAAAAGGATCAAATTAATACACTATTTAAAAAAAACATAAGCAATACCAATCCATAAAAAAAAACCCACTTGGCAGCCAGTACCTCAGAGAAAGCTAGTTTGAAGAGAAAGGTCTTCACTTGCTTGTGGAAGGACAGTAAAGATGAGACCAGCCTAGCCTCCTGTATGAGGGAATTCCACAGTCTGGGAGCAGCTACAGAGCAAATCCTTTCTCATGCCCTCACTGAACGCACACGGAAAGGTGTCAGACATGGGAGAGGACTTCCTCTGTAGGAAAGCCTCTCCGGATAACCTTAACTCTTGAGCAGGCTCATAAAAGGAGGTGCGGTCCTTGAGAGAGCTTGGGCCCAAGCCTCTTAGGGCTTTATGGCTTTACTCAATCACTTTGGATTCTGCCTGGAAATGGATCGGCAGCCAGTGGAGTTGCAGTAACAGGAATTATGTATTTCCTGTGGCCAGTCCCAGTTAACTTTCTGGCTACTGCATTTGGGATCTGTTGAAATTTCCTGGCACTTTCCATAGGCAGCTCCGCATAGAGCACCTTACAGTAATCCACTCAAGATGTAACTCGGGCATGTGTCACCTTGGCCAGATCAGACCTCTCAGGAAATGGGCACACTAATTTTAACTGTGCAAATGCACTCCTGATCCCCAATGAAACACCTAGGCTCAGAGATGAATCTGGGAGTACTCCATGTGAAATTATTTGACAAGCTGGAGAAGCTTTTTCTACCACCATTGTCTGTCCATCTATGCTGTACTGAATACAAGTTGTGGATTTCTTATTCTTCTTTGTCCTTGCAGAAATACTGACAGCTAGGTGGTTCCTAATTTCATTTGGGGAAGTCTGTTTCTGAGAGATGGAACGCAGCATAACCCCAGTCCAAAATATCTGGACGCTTTTACACAACAACATTGTACAGCTGGGAAGTTGATCCCTGATGCCCGGTGTGTTGTTGAAAAGAATTTCTGGGCAACAACTCTTGGGAACGTCCGGTGACTCGTCAATGGCTCTTAGCATGTTGCTACTCCTGGAAGCTGCATAGGCTGCTTGTGCAGCCACTTGGCCCACACCTGCCTGAGTGATTTTTAAAAAGGGACTGCTTCAATCAGCAAACAAAAACAAATGGCAAACAGACCAGGAGCAGACCAACCTCTCTGGAGGACACTTGATTAGGGAAAGGTATTCTCATTCATATCATGCAACTTTGCACTTTTGTGGTGAGTCATTTGTTTCTATTGCAAGACATGATCATCCCTGAGGTAAGTGTTAGAATACATAACTGTGCAATCCAGCATGTATATATGTGTATATAAGAATGATCGAAATGTGTTATTTACACAATAGAGCATTATAACCAATCAGATTTTGTCTACTGCTAGCCAATGGATGTTTAAGGGCCAGATAAAAGAAATGGCAGTTGGATGAGACTTTTCCTGCTTGTTCTGCTTGTCTATTAGCATGAGGTTTTCCTGTTGAGAATAATGTTTTTCAGATATGCTGTCTGCTATTAGCATGTTAATAAGGAAGTTATTATTAAACTGTTGTAAGTCTGTCAAGCACAAATCTTTTCTAAGTAAATATGTTCAAGCACTGTTTATTTATTTTTCAACATGTTATACAGTAAATATTCTTACGTTTTTCCATGACCAAATGAATGTTATTTCTACTGTTGGCACACACAGGCTCATATATGTATACCAAGGGAGAATCTATTTATGATCTCTGTGGGTTTTTTTATAGTCACACTTGATCTGCCACGTGTGTCTTAGAAATCTCAATATTAAGTAGTCATCACCATCACCACCCACTAGGTGATACTGGCTGTCAAGTTAGGATGTGTATGTACCAAATGCATAGTCTACAAAACCTTCCCATGTAATGATCTGTGTAACCCTTTTAAAGGGAAGCACTTCTTTTAAAAAGTACCACTGCCCAATAGAAATCTTTTCAAGTAAATTTACTGCTGATTGCAAAAGGCAGAAAAATATTGTCTCCCCCTCCCCTCAAACACTACGGAAATGTGTAGTTGGAATGAAAGCAAACCTTGCCTGGTCTGCATCACTGCAGAGAGTGCCAAGTCCATGATATCTAATGCAACAATTAATACCCTCTTATTTTCTTGGCTTTAAGAGCTGGTTGTTGATGCTTTATGTAGTATGTTTTTGGGGAAAGGGAACCCTCTCTGTGAATGACTGGCATTCCATGGATGTGGGATGGATTGCCTATATGAACTTTTATTTCCTCTAGAACTAGGGGTGGGCCGTGTTTGGCACTTCAAACATAGTTGGACTATAGATCCCATCATTCCAGTCAGCATGGCCAATGGAGAGGAGCTGTAAGAATTGCAGTCCAGCAACAGGTGGGAAGCTGCTCTTGCTTCATTCTTGGTTTAAAATCTTGGAATTTTAGAGCTGGAAGAGACCTTGCAGATAACCAAACAGAGTAGTTTTGAGTCTCAGATGTTCTGGACTTCAGGAGCCTGTGATTATTGGTCATCCTTGCTGAGGCTAACAAAACATCTGGAGACTGAATGGTTAAGAACTAGTGATCTAATCCAACCCGTACTCAGTGGACAAGCTACAATGCAGGATGTGATAGTGGAAGTCAAATACGTGGGTATTTTACTTAAATACCTGCAGTGAAGAAGAGCCAACTGTCTTCCAAGGTACTGTGGCCTGATTTATTAGTTAAACCTATATCTCGCTGTTCCTTCAGTAAAATGTATATACATTTTTCTGCCCACTTTATCTTTTCAACAGCCTTATGAGGTTGGTCAAACTGAGGGAGAGACTGGCCCAAGTTCATGGAGCTTGATGTCTCAGTGGAGAACCAAACCTGGATCTCCCAAGTCCTGATCCAGTACTCTAAACACTCTGCACCATGACTTTCTCACTCTCGCTTGCTATGGAAAACCTTTTAGGATTAGGAGTGGGACATTCAGTGCTTCTGGGCTACAACTCCCATCATTCTCCAAGAATTACCTAGGTAGAATTCTGGGAGTTACAACCCACAGAGTCACACTTACAAATACCTACTTTTTGCTCCCCTGGACCACGGTCAATCTCTGAGGTTGCATGGTGATCTCCAGTCTTGCTGCTGTTAATGAAAAAATAAAAACATTAGGATGTTTTCCTTAAAGTTTAGCTGAAATCTGCTTCCCTGCCCTTTGCACTCATTTGACAACATCATGTTCTATTAGTTCTGTCCCTTATGTGTATTTTTGAAGTGTTTAGACAGACTTTATTTTGGCAGAAAGCATGACTAGCAAAGGGAAGTTTCCGTATGCAGCAGAGAAACTGGGTCTGTGTGAAATTCAAATTCTTGACCAGCACCCCCCTCTCTTGGATAGTTTTTCAAAACTCTTTAAAATCAAGGAAGACTGAATTCAATTTAATGTGCCCTGCTCTCTTTCTGCATGTTAAGAACAATCCCTATGGTACACCATCATGCTGCACATTTACCAGGCAAGATTGTATATTCGTTATCTCTCATCAGTTATTGTTTTCTCTGAGTTCCCAAGTGATCATGGATATGCACTGTCACTTGAGAACATGCAAAAGGTCTGGCTGGATCACATTGGGATCAGCCTCTCCAGTGTTCTACAAAAGTGTAAAAATTGCCTTGTTGGATCAGTCCATTCTAGTCCAGCCTTGTTTTGTTCAACATTTGGTCAGCTCATGGAAATCACAGTAGTGTGGCAGGAGCTACAGTATCTCCTGTTCCTTACATCCTGCACTGAGTCAAGGCTATAGAGTCACAGAACATGGATGTTTTCTTTAGTAATCATGGCTACTACTATCCAGAGCCTGGAAATTTAGTTTTTTGGGAATGCAACTGTCAAGACTAATTCAACCAGAATAGCCAGTGTATGGTCCAAACTGATACATGAGGGTGTTCTCATTCTTACATAATTACTCAATTAGATATGTCATTTAAAAAATCATATCATTTGTTCTTTGTTCTAGGCCAATATCTACAACTCTTTAATTCTGCTTGAGGAAGAGTTCTGCAAAATGCACAGTTTCGCCATAGTGCTTGGGGGGTTCTGGGATCCATAGCTCAAAAAAGTGACCTTCCCAATTTTTCCTCTGAGCAACGAGCAAGCTTCAAGAGGATCTTTCTTCCAGCTAAAAAATCTGCTTTCTTGGAGGTCATCATAGGCAGGGGGGTTTCATTGAACAGATAAACTGAGGATAACAATGACTAATAGTACAGTACCTGCTAATCACTGGAGTAAAAACTAAAAAGACAGGTCATCTGTGGCAGAAAGAAACTGGGCTGGGAAACCGCGGCCCCCCATCCCATATTTCACTTATTTCAATTGCTGGTGCTGGTGGTAGTTTTGTCTATTTTCCATGGATCTAATTTTCTTTTAAATCCACTTAACAGCCAAGTATGTGTATATATAGTATTTTGCTCAAAAAGCATTGCCTGCCCGAACCTACTGCCAGTCAGTTTAGCCGGGGTATCTCGAGTTCATATTTATATAAGGGACTAAGAGGGAGGAAAAGGAACTCACTATCTGGTGGACAGGGCGGGTTTTAAAAAAAACAACAACCACCATAAATGCACTCCCAGAGAGCACGCATAAACACTATCAAAATGTGGCAAACACGTTTCAGAAAACAGGTATTGGCGGCGGCTGCCAGTTGCTCGTTCCATTCATGGCGTCACCAGAGGTCGGAAGCGACTTGAGACACATATAATCACAACAAAGATGGATTTGCTGCTTTGTAATGTGTGAAGGGCGCGCCCCTCACCACCTTTGCTTCCGGATAAGCAAAGGATTCGGAAAGAACGGCTCAGGTTCGCCTCGCTTAGCAAAATAGGCCAATTACACTCCAGGCCGGCGGCGGGACACGCCCACCTGCGCCAGGCCGCGCTTGCTCGGAGGGAGCCGCCGGTGCCGGCGGGAGTTTCAAGGCGGCCCGTCCCACGAGCGCCTCGGCGGCGGCTTCGATCAGCCCCGGTTCCCTCGCCACGCGCAACCCCGGTAAGCAACGTTGTCGGGGAGCGGTCGTTCGGACAGGGGCGCTGACGCGGGGAAGGAAATGAAAGTATGGTACAGCACAGAGGTGTAAGGGCGGATTCTGGGTCTTGAGAAGGGAACGTTTGAGTAGGCGCACCTTCTCTCAGCCCTGCACGAGATGCAGGAGGGTCCCGCTGTCGCCGCCGGCCAGAGATCAGACTTTCATTGACGCAGAGTACTTCAGCGCCGTTCACACGGCACACAAGACGCGTGTCCATATTGCGTGCGCCTGTACAGGTAGATGGCTGTGGGAATCTATTTGTGTTCAGGAGTTAATCAGTCCATGCATATTAAATTGGCGTGGTGGGGAAGGGCGCTAGATCAATAGATGGAGGGCAATTTTATGAGAGAGATTTTTCGGAATAGACTTCGTGTGCATTTTTGCATTGGGACACGTTCCATTGAGTTTAATAGATCTTACTTCTAAAAAACCATGCGTGTACAACTGAATGTTTACTTAGGGCAACTTTTGGTGGACTCTGCCATTTCAGATTCAGGGACATCTGACAATTCATCTACAGTGTGCATTGGCAGGAACAGACTGTTGCCGATGTTTGCTTTAAGGAATTGGAGTGCCTGTTTCAATGAACTTGAAAAATAACACGTCCCTATATTGGTAGTGTTGCCATGTTAATGGGGAACATCTAACTCCCCTATTACAGAGCTTTCTCTTCAGGCAAGCCTTTCAGCAGTAATTGAGCTGTGTGTTTTTTAGATGGATTATTATTGTATTTCCAATTTTTGGGGTTTTCCATTTCTCAGACTGCCGTTTCCCCCTCTTTTATTATTTGTATACATGTTCCTAACTTTAATATTGCCTTTTAATGATGTATGGTGTGTTTTTATACTCATTTCTCTTATTTATTTGTTTGTTTGTTTGTTTGTTTGTTTGTTTGTTTGTTTATATCCCGCCTATCTAGTCGATTAAGACCACTCTTAGCTTTCAATATTGTCTTTTAATGATGTTAACCACCATTGTATACTCATTGTTCTAACCTTTAAATATCTCTTTCAATGTTGTAAGCTGCCTTGGGTCCTTTTCAAGCAGAAAGGCAGGGTAAAAATATTCTAAATAAATAAATATTACAGGAGTTCCACTGGCAGCTAATCTATTTCCAGGAACAATTCAAAATGCTGGTTTTAACCTACAAAGCCCTAAACAACTTGGGTCCAAGCTATCTCAAAGACCACATCTCCCTCCCTGTGCTGGATAAGCTTAGACTCCCTCTGAAAAAACTGATGTGCAGCTTGGGGGTGATTCATGTCTGAGCCTGGATGCCCAGGTTTTAGCAGTGGCCAGGAGTGTCTTTACGCAGTTGAAACTAGTGTGCTGGTTAGGCCCGTTTCTTGAGAGGGATGCTCTGGCCATGGTGACACATGCTCTAGTTACATCTCAGTTGGTTTACTGTAACACACTCTCTGTGGGGCTGCCTTTGGGAAGTGTTTGGAAACTTCAAAAGGTCCAAAATGCAGCATCCAGGCCGCTAACTGGGGCTGGTTACAGGGAACATATAACTCCCCTGTTGCAGCAGCTCCACTGGCTGCTGATCCATTTCCAGGCACAATTCAAAATGCTGGTTTTAACCTACAAAGCCCTAAATGGCTTGGATTCAAGCTATCTAAAAGACCACATCTCCCTCTGCTCAGGCAGGCAAAGACCTTTCTCTTCAGGCAGATTTTTCCTTAATGACTGGTGGTCTGAGAGGGATTTTAAAATGGATTGTTGTTCTCTGTTGTTTGAATGTATTTTACTATTGGTTCTATTTACCATTTTTAATGTCATATTTGGTTTAATTCTTTTTCATTATGTGTATACTTACTGTTTTTAGCTTTAAAATGGTCTTTTAAATGACTGGGTCCTTTTTATGGAGAAAGGTGGGATAAAAATATTTTAAATAAGTAAATAATCTTCAGCAATAATCCTCAGGCTGTAAAGTAGACTATCCTCTACTGTGCCACAGAGCAACCGGAGGAAGTTGCCTTTTACAAAGCAGTAGTTTTCAATCTTTGGTTCTCCCGATGTTTTGTCATCACTTCCCAGAATTCCTGACCATTGGCCATGCCAGCTACAGGCTTTGAGAAACTGATGTCCAAAAATCTTGAAGACTTAAGTGCTGAGATTAATTGCTCTGGCCTGGAGGGCAGAAGGAGAGAAATGTGACTCCTGAAAGGCTTTTATTTCTTGTCCTTTTCAATGCAAAGAGTTAATGCTGAGCTATCAAGTGAATCTATTGATAAATGCTCACCATCTTTAGGCATCTCATCAAGCAACATTTCCAGCTTCTGATTGCAAAGCATTTGAAAGGGCTTGTTCTGCAGAAAAAATGCAGTTAAAATATAGGTAACAGAGCAGTTGTAGTTCATGGATTTGCTTCTATTACCTTAAATTGTTTTAGTAATGGGAGTGTTTAAATATTGAACAATGGAACCTAATCTTTTAGAAGGACTAGTCAGGGAAGGATAAAGAATTGCAAATGGAGCTGTATGACAGGTATAGAGCCAATAAAGGGTCATGAAGAGGTGTCAGAGGTGCCAAATGTGGTTGGCTTTTGTAATCCACTCTCCTGGAATGCAGCGTGGAAGGGTGGAGTGATTGGGTAGATATGAGCAATCAGATAAAGATGATAATCTTTGAACTGCCTAGCTGGAAGGGACCCTATGGATCATCAAGGAGGCACCCTGGGGGACTGAACTCCCAACCTCTGGCGGCACAGAGGCCACAGCTATCCAGCCTTAGCCAACAGCATTAATATAAAAATCACCATGTAGAAAGTGAAGGATAGGCTGGCACTTGGCAAGGTGGAAGCTAAGATACAGATATCCAGATGTCCAGTAGTTTCAGTAGCTTAAGACTACTGTGGCAGCCATCTTAGCTGGAACATGGGATCAAGCTGGAAGCTCCCTTGTCTGAAACCAGTTCATTCCTTCTGATTTTGCAGTCAGCTGTGCAGACCAAGAAGCCATTTTCTTTAAACTCCCACCTGTACTCCTGTGCTTTCCATCCTCTTGTCAAGTTGGTCTGTCATCTTTAACTTTCTCCATAAATCTCTTAAATTCAGTTAGAAATCAAGTATTGTGTGAATGGTTGCACAAAATGTGATCATGCCTAGTATGCCCCTCCCCCCAGTCTTGGTGGTAAATGTCAAAATATTATTCGCTGTATCCCATTGGGTTCTTTGGAAGGGAGCCATAATATGAAGAAAAAAAAAAACCAGTGAAGCTGAAAAAATGGATTTTCATAAAGGAAATGCTTTTATATAATCTTAAACAAATGTACATGGTATTATTACTAGAGTTTCGGGGGTGTCATGGAAAACTGTTTTTGTCTTTAATGTATAGAATGAATTTTCTTTGAAGGGGGCTGAATTGCAGTGAATAAAAGGTGAGAGGCTAAAGAGTCTCCTAAAACAAAAAGAAAATGCCAGATATATAGGAACCACTGCCTTAATTCCGATTATAAATATATGCTAGATCAGCATGTTTATTTTCTTACAAATATTATTTATTTTCTTACAATCATTAATAATTGTAAAGGAAAAGGAAAAAGAAAATCGTAATACAACTTTATAGGAGAAAACTTAAAGTAGACCCTCTAGTTAAAAAAACTCATCAAATAAATTAGCTCCTTTTAGTACTACATAATGCTTGTCCCAATGAATTTCTGTCCAGTTTCTTGTGTAACAAAAGCAGAAAGGGCAACTGTACCTGATATACTCTCAGGTAAAGCAGAAAGAAACTACACTAAAACATTTTCAGACTCCATAATAAACTTGAAGACTTCAAAGAAAAGTATCTCAGTAAAACTTAAAATTAGTCTCCTGCACATATTCTCTAATGTAAACTCTAAATAATGATCTTTAGAGGTAATGAGCAGTAAATATCCTTAAAGGCATAATGGTCATTTCATAGTTTGCCTAATTTTTTTAAACAATGAGGTTGCAAGGTTTATGGCTAAATTGTTTAAAGTTTGTAGATTGATCTCTAATCTATATAGGAAGCCTGTTTGCTAGCAAAATACAGAGAAAAGTATGAAATGAAAGCAGAAATCATCATCTTAAATTATTGATGTTTCTTCCATTATTTGTCACTCCTCCTTAATAAAATGTGAAAAAATGTACTTTAATCATGCGCATGACTATTTCACTAACCTCAATGAAAATTAAATGTGCCTATTTGTGTCTGGATCATGCCAGATACATGTTATGCAAAGGACAAATGGCTTCCACACTCACTCAAATCTTTATTCATAGCATATTAAGGCAAAGGACCTACGGAATACAATAAAAGGTTTTAAGTGCCTTGAAATTTTCAGTGCTATTAGTTGTTTGCTCTGTTTTCCCTGTGGATTTTCTTTCTGGTGACTTCATTTCACCTGTTGACTATTGGAATTTCCACTAATGAAATTGTATAATCTTTTCACAGGAGGAACAGTGATTTGATGCTCTGATTTGGATACAGGCAAAAGTTGCCAAGGCTACATGATGGAGATGCAAGTGGACTCGGAACCTGCCAGCGTAAAATGTGTAGGTGATACCACCAGCCTCCTGCTAGAAGTGGAAGAAGACTACTTGCCAGCTTCCTCTCCTGATGGCAACCCCAGGGCAGTTTCAGATCAGGATGGTGTCTTTTTAGAACCACATGTTGAAAAAAGAGAAAGCTCTTTGGTGGCAACCTCAAAAGAATCCGCTTACTATCGAAGGTGGGAATCAACCACCCCTGGTGTTTATGTTCCTTCTGCCACCTGTTATAGCACAGGCTCTGAAGGTAAGGTTCTGGACCTCTACTCTCTGGGGAATTCTAAGGATAGTCATGGCTTAAAGTTGGAGAATGAGGTGGAGGAGAATTTCATCATTCTTGTTGACATTTCTGATGATGAGAATCTGCCACCCCAGCTGGAGAAAACTTTGTCTGATGTTTCCAAGAAGTGTGGGGATTCTTTCCAAGATCTCCGTGGGCTTCAGGAACTTAAGCAGTTTCATGTGGCTGGAAGTCCATACTGGTGCTCCCTTTGTGGCAAAGAGTTTTTCCGTGCGGCTAACTTGCGAATGCACAAACTAACCCATTCTACAGAGAGGCCACACAAGTGCCCTGTATGTAACAAGGGTTTCATTCGCACTGCTGACGTTTGGCGGCATCTCAGCAGCTTTCACAGGATTGAGCGCTCCAGTGTAGTTTTGGGAAGTGCTAATATAAAGAATTGCTGGTCTGTGGTGCAAGAGGAACCAGACAATACTTTGAATACTGGACAGTTGTTCTGTGCAGTCAGAAAACCCGAAGAGAGCTTAAAAAGCTACCTCTGTCCAATATGTAGCAAAAGTTTCAGTAAATCTAACTTACTTTCAAAACACAAAGTGATCCACCGGCAAGATAAGCCGTACAAGTGCAAAGAATGTGGCATGGCCTTTGTCCAACTGGCAAGGTTGAAAAGGCACCATCAGACCCATACGGGAGAGCGCCCTTTCCACTGCGAAGATTGTGGTAACACCTTTACCCGCCTGGGTTCACTAAAGCGCCATCACCGTATTCATACTGGAGAAAAGCCCTATTCCTGTTCCTACTGTAATCTGTCCTTCTCAGAGTTGGGAACTCTAAGGAGGCATGAACAGATTCATATAGTAGTCCTGGCATAGTGTATATGATGCTGAGATTTTGTTTTAAAAAAAGTTTCCTGCAAATACTCAGAACCTGACGCTTGAACCTCTCCAAGTGAAAAGATGACCCACTGAATGCAGAAACTGCAGTAAAGCCCTCACAGTACAGTTACCAGAAAGTGTTGGTGGCAGTATTATTTTAATAAACTCTTTTGATTCCTTGACAAGTGGCAATTTGCTTCTGCAATTTATGCTGCTACACTTGCACCGACTGGTGAGAATGAAGACTCATTCAACAGTGTAATTCAACAGGGATGCTGCATCTACAAATGTCAGCCATCATGAGGTGGCAGGCAACATGGATATGTGCATTGCCATAGTATCAAAGGCCTGAGAAAGCTTCAGGGTGATTGTGTTACTCCTTTGAAATAACAGCAGTATTTCAAGCATCTCTATGAGATGCTCACTTATTCTTTTCTCAATGTCCAGCAAAAAATTTTTTTCCTCAACTTGCCAATTGCCTGTGTTTTTCTCTAGTTGGGACCTGTTTTCTCATTATATTAGCTAAACAACTAAAACAACTTAAAAAACACAACTGAGCTTGTAGATATTTTGTTCTCTCTGTGGCCTTGTCTTCCTTTCCATTAGTTTAGCTACTTAAAAAATTGTGCTCTTCCTAGTCCTACTGCTGTTCTAGCTTCTTCACCCTTTTCCATTATGCTAACAAGCTTACACAATTCCCTCAACTGAGGAAATTTGATCGAGGGTGTGGAGTTAGTAGTACAACAAGAACAAAAACTTGCCACCATCTAATCAACCTGTTATAGTCTGTTTCTTTTCTTTTCTTTTTTTTTGCTTCTCTTTTCTTTCTGTTTGGGAGGGCATAGAATCATGAAGTTGGAAGGGGCCTATAAGGCCATACGAGCCCATATAACAAGAACGAAGGGTTGCCTGTCAGAATAGGACATGGTCTGACTCTAAAAAAATATTCCCTGTTCTCTTTTGCATTTTAAACAGGCACCTTTTGGTAAGTCATTGTAGGTTCATCACTTTAAACCAGTAGTTCCCAACCTTGGGTTCCCACATCTTCTTGGACTAGAACTCCCAGTAGCCTTCACCACTAGTTGTGTTGGCCAGGATTTCTGGGAGTTGTAGCTCAAGAACTCTGGGGACCGAGGTTGGGAGCCACTACTTTAGACCTAGCTTTTTCCCACTGCACTATGGATTTACCCCTGCTGACACATGGAAAAGTGTTACATTTGAACCTGCCTTCATTATATGTATGTATTTTTTAGGCCTGCTGTGGTCTTGGTCTTGTGCCCAACTATCTGCAGCACTGTTCACAGACAGGAATATTGCAGAGCCTGGGAGACATTATGTACATATAAACGTGGATCCACTTAGGTGCTTCGTTCTTGGCTTGACAATTGTAACTTTTGTAACCAGCAAGGAGTGACAAGACGGTGTCCCTGCCTCCTAGCTCTTCTTTACCCCAGTGGTTTGATGCTAGTTTAATAAAGCCAACTTGAAACTGGCTCAAGCTGTAAAATGATATTAAACCACAGTCCACTCTTTTAGGCAGAATATGTGACTGGTTTAATTAAACCAGGAAGTAAGCGTTCATTGATTTCATTGTTTATTTCCAGCTGCTAAGATGCGATTTAGGAAGCTATAAATTCACAGCCTATACAAGGTCGTCACCATTAGTAATCAGTTAAACAACTGGGACAGGAAAATATGCTTAAGGTTGAAATGGCATCATCTTATTACTAATGTTCAGAAGAGAAAGTTATATTTTACCTGACTTGTTATGATGAAATGAAGTAATGACATTTCATACTCCCTCTTAGCTCCCAAAATAGAACTTGTAGGCTAAAATCCTCCTGCAAAATACTGTGTGCATCATGACACTGTTTTCATAATTTGCAAGCAGCTAGTCGCATGCCCAACTACACAGCTGTTCACATGCCCCACTAGAAGATTATGAGGCATGCCATAGACTCCTATTGCTTGAATATTGGCTGTGTACTTGATCACAACACAGTAGGATTCTGGCTATTGTTTTCATGAGGTAGAATGATGTGTCTTGTCTTCTGGTTTATAATCCATGCAGTTGAGCTTGGAAAAACAGAGAATGACCTCCAAGCTTACAAGGAAGTTCAATAAACTGACTGGCATATTTTCATAAATCGGACCTTCTCTGTTTTGTTTGTATGGTTTGCCAACCTTAACAGAAGTAAAAGGAGGGAAGGATGCTAGTACTGTATAAAGAAAAATAAGAAAATGTTGATCTAGTGTCCTTCAGGTACAACCTCAGTTCCTATCCAGCCCCAGATGACCACAAGTGGCATTTGGGAGTGGAGAAGCTAGGGATCCTGTCTGCCCTTTGCTTCCTCCTGTGTCTATTGTTAGACTGATATTCTCAGGGTTTCTCCGTCAGGGTTTGCTTCTGACTCTGCGGAGCAGATGTGTTGCTGCTCTTCTGCCATGTCCGTTCTAGGTCTTTTTATCTGTTTAGTCAGAGTTGGGGTTTAAGCTTTTCTACCTTGAATGTAACTTTCTTAATAAATGTTCCTTGTTCATTTTAACTGCTTCTGCCTACTTTATCCTGGGATTAACAGTCCATGAGTCCATGAAATGCTTACTCTGTTACTGAGAAAAACCTTAGTAGTGTCTTTCTCTCACTTTATGAACACGCACAATAGAAGAAGCTTCAGGTGTGTACTACTGAGAAGTGTTTATTTATCTGAACACATTTCAAGTCATAAAATTCTTTGGCAACTGTTTTGGTCCATTCAAAGTAAAACTAAAATACTCTTGTCTACTGTCTCAAGGCAATCTATGAGACTGTTTTTGTCAGGTCAGGCCCACTCCTTTTGCTGCTGAAAGCAAAGGATAAGGTGGCACCTCCACAGAAGCCCACCAGACTAGCAGAGCTTATTGGAGGAAACATAAAAATACAGTAAAAGCAAGAGCTTGGGGAAAAAAGCATGGCTCCTTAATTGTGCATAGTTGTGTTCCATGAATGGATAAATGAGTTTTCTCTGAAAATGAACTTCACAGTTTGAAGTGGGCTGGGGCAAACACATCTTTGACACCTTTCTCCATGTCATTGGAAGCTTAAAGATATCTGGAGAGGTATTTAGTGACGAGCATTTTGGACTGAGACTTCAACCACCCATAGCACTCATTGGGCAATTGGGGCAAACACATCTTTGACACCTTTCTCCATGTCGTTGCAAGCTTAGTGACGAGCATTTTGGACTGAGACTTCAGCTGCCCATGGCACTCATTGGGCAATGAGTGAGTCACATTCTTACTCTTAAAATACCTTATAGTTTTGTTTTTGCTTTTGATAAAGTGGGGAGAAGGACAGCCTTTGGAGCTCATCAGAGAAAAGGATGAAACTAATTAGTTGCAAAGGATCTGAATTCCAAATACCTCCATTTTCAGGAAATTATATCTGTGTGACCTTTGACCATTTCCTTTATCCCTCTGCTTTTTTGTGAAGTTGGACATTAAAGGATGAGAGTTTAAATTGGGAAGTGGGATGGGGAGGAAAGCCTTGCCTTTCCCTTCATCTCACAAATCACTGTAAGTGGAAGATGCACACATATTTTTCATGCAAGCCACTGAACACTATTTATTGCATTTATATCCTCTTAATTCTAAAGAGATCATACATTGTTTTTCTTCTCATTTTCCCCCCCTGTGAGGTAGTTTCAGAGTGGGAGATATGAACAGGTCAGTATCACCCAGTGAGATTTTCAGCCCCTGTAATGATTTCTCAGCAGCAGAAGAGAGACATGCTCTCTCCAGCCATACATGAGGCCACCAGTCAGGACTGCTCTCTTTCAGACCATGTCCTTCCCTACAAAATTCCTTCAGAAGGTGTATGGGGGGCACTGCCTCTTGATTGCAAGAAATACTGTACAGTACTCAGTTTATTTTTGAAATATGCGGGTCATAGCACAACATAGTCACTGAGTATGTTCATGCAAAAATAAGCAAAAGGTAGGGTTGCATGGTACATTCAGATTGGAAGGCAGTTTGCATTAAGGGTTTCATAACTTAAATTTGAATCCAAATTCTTTCCTTCACACACACAAACACACAGAGAATTCTATGTGGCCTCTCTCTGAACTAGACAGTAGATGGCAATGTTGCATCTCCAAAGAGCAAAAATACTGATAAGAAAGCAGAAAGAAGTCCTATCAAATGGACATGCGTTTACACTAAGACCTGTAATAGCATCAGCCTGTTTGTAGGCATCCTTTTTTAAGAAAAGAAAAAACAGCTCTGTGTACAATATATCAGGTTAGAAGAGGCACTGGTTTACCTGGGAACTGTTTTCCTACTTTACATTTAACTTGGTGGCCTGGTGAATCTAGACCTACTGTTTCCAGCCAGCCTGTACAGAGAGAGAGAGAGCTGTTGCTAGATTCTAACAATGTACTCCCCCATAATTACATCCAATTTGCCTGCTGCTGCTTCCTTTCCCAACCACATCTACCTATTTAGTGAGATGTTACCACAAGCTGAGTTATTTTCTCAACCCAAAGTGGTTCTCAACTTGTAAAAGCATAAACAAAATGCAACAATTTATTAAGATGACAAAAAGTGCAAAAATATTAATCTTTTTTAAAAATCCAATCAGCATATCTCAAAACGGGAAAAACAAAATGACCACCATTAAACATACAGAATGCCCTGGAAAAGAGAAATATTTTTGCCTAGCACCTAAAAGAAGACAAAATGAAAACTAGGCAAGCATCTCTGTGGAAAACACTCCATCATATGAGGTGGGGGCGGAGAGTGGCGACCACAGTCACTCCTGAGCTTTGAAACTCAGAGGACCATCGTTTGCACTCTCTTCCCCTCACCTGGTTACCAGGATTGTGGGGAGGAAGGAACTACATACTGTGCCCTGAGTTCACTGGAGGAAAGATAAGAAATAATTGTGACTACAAAACAGGAAAACTAGAGCCAAAAGCCTTTCTCCATCCTCCAGTCTGAAAGTCTTTCACTAGACAGTCTAGAATCTGCAGTATTAGGCAGAACTGCTCCTGGATTTCTGAACACAGCCACTGTGATGGAGGGAAGGCAGGAAGGAGGCAAACCAAGGGTGTCAGTAGCTGGTGCAATCAAGATTTCTGGTTCCGGGGATTTTATACTGAGAACTGCATGAACTATATAAACAAATGAATCAGCCACCCTAAATGCTATGCCAAGAAAAGCTGCATTTGTATTGAACAAACTTCCCATATTATAGTATTCATTCTGTTTCTTTGTTAGTCTATCAAGATAGGTATCCTTCTGATTCTGCTGTTGCTCAGAGAAGGGAAAAGGATTTTACAGAACTCTGAAGACTCAGCCCCATTCACTGGAAATCTGTCTTCCTGAAGATTCCAGAAGGCAATTCTTGTTTTACTTCAGGAAATGTACATTTGCAACCATAATGGATGAATGAATGTTGTCCTGGGTGCTCATGATTTCGGGCAAGCTGAGAGGTGATTAATATGACAATCAGACTAGGAAAATGACTGTTTGTGTTGCCCGGAAGGACCAGAGTAAAAGTATTTTCTGTACCTGTTCCCTTTATCTGATGGAGGCTGGGCCAAAAAAATGTGCTCCGTCCCAGCTCGGTCCTGTGGTTTATCTAATGGCTCTGCTGACCAGGCTCTCTTGTTTGCTGAATTAACAAAATAAGAAAAGAAACACCTTCGGAGAAGGCATGACTGTGCTCTGCTATCATTCGTTGGCTGGCAAATTGACAGAGTAAGTAACTTTTTGGACCAGGGCTCCCAGAATGCACTCACCAGCAGCTATAATCTGAAAGCTATAATTG